ATATATTATTAGATTCATGGAGTGTTGGTGAAAAGGAAAAGTAAAAAAGAAGCAAATAAGTTTCATGTGATTTCACGAAACAAGAATCCAATTCTTATTGAATAACAAGTTGAAATCAATTTTAATCAATTGTCTTCACCAAACGATAACAACTTTATATTCAAAAACATTGTAACACATTTGATAAATCGAGGGTTAATTTTTATTCAACACTTTTAACCTTAAATTTATTCCGTTACCATTTAATGGATGCAAGAAAAGAAAAATGTATTTCAATGAAAGAATTTCACAATCTGAACCTGAATCCCATGCACCTTCCATCTTGTTATCTCTTTATTTTGACTTTTTTCATTCACTTATTTGTAGTTGAGAAACATGAAACCAGTCATGGAAAGTGCATGAACCAATTCAAGACCAGATTGTCTTACCATATTCTTGCTGTTCAAAAGTTACATGAATGGATATAATAAAATCAGAGTTGAAAGTGAATTCAATTGAAGTTTTAAAGAAAAGAAGAGAAAAAAATTTCTTTTACTTTTCTTTTCAATTTTACTTGTCGAGTTGCTCTTCATATTACCTTTTGGTGTTTCATGAAAAACTATTATCATTGTAATGACAGTGATGAATGAAGGCTTACAGGGAAGAAAGGTTTGTTTGGTTAAAGAGAAAATTTTGATCGATTGTTGGCACTCATTGTAAACATTATCAGAAATTTAATTAACGTCAAGATTAATTAACAGTCGACAGAAAACAATGAAATATTGAGCGGATTAACTTGAGATGTTCAACAATTAACACTGTATTGACACACAAACAGAGTAACAGTTAACCAGATTTATCATTAATCAGTAGATTAGGAAGGATGAAGAGAAATGTTGAGAAATTGTTTGCAAATGGAAAAGGATTGACACGTTAATTAACTAATTGAATTGTGATTTGCCTAATGATTCAAGATTTCGTTCTGCAATTTGACATAATTATCAAGACAATTAATGAGACTTTAGACCTTTGACATCAAAAAGCAATAAATTTCCCCAATTTTCCATTTCGTTTCTTCCAAGTTTGAGTCCAAAAACTCTAGCAGCTTCAAGAGGCGAATGTCGATGACTATTAAACAACCATGAACGCTCGACCTAGCAAAAGATCAAGAAACACATCGAATGAACTTGAATATAATGATCAAGAACAGTGACAAGAAAAATTACTAGAAAGTGGGAAAGAGCAAGAGCAAGACAAATGCCAAGTTTACATTTAAAATTTAATTTTTGGAACTTTTCGTTTGTTTTTGTTTTTTGTATATTTTGTTATTCATTTGTAATTTACATAAAATTTTGATTAGAAAATAAATTTTTCATGAAAAAATTCTCTTAAATTTTTGTATATAATTGTATCGACAAATTTCGTTTATAAAAAGAGCGAGAATTTCGATCATCCACAAAAGCGAAACGTTTGTGCGCTTGTGGTGACCTGGAAGTTTGATGTACGCTGGTTCACTGGGAATGCTTCTTTACTTTTATGGTTTTATTGCATTGGAAATGAGGAAAAGTTGGATTCGAATGTTCATTTTTGCCAGATTTTTTCCACTTGAACAAATTTCGTGATTCATCTGAATTGTATCTGAGATTATTCAGTTTGTATTGCAACTGAATGACTATTTATTATCTGTTCGTGAATATTACCAGATTTGCATGAATGACTATTGATGGATTATCACTTGAGCCTGGTTAACAATGAAAAATTAAGTTGAACAAGGCATTGAAGAAGCGATCGTTAAGATCACTGTTCCTGCTAACTAAACTGAATCCTTCAACACTTGATTGGATCCGAATGACAATAAGATTCCAGTTTGAAGATTGGTTTCATGTTTGGTTGGTTATTATTGTAAAAGTGTTATCCTTGGTTAGTTAAACATTTGGCCAATGGTCACTTCAGTCTTATCACAATTTATCCTTCAGTTGACTGAATGATGGGAAACAAAGAATCCTTTCTTATCTACCTTTTAATAATAGTATTGTTTGTAACGTAATACAAATCACAAAGGAATAAGAGTTTGAAACTCATTTCAAGTAGAGAAAGATGGAAAGAGAACAAGTCAGGCAAGTTCAACTGAAATGAAATGAAAGTGGACTCAGTCCAGGAGGCAAAAACATTAAACATCAACATCAACAAATAACAACATTCATCTGTTCACTAGGTAGACCATTAGTCAACTGTCAAATGAGAAGTTAGTTAAAAAACTAAACATTGATTTCTTTTGATTGCTGTCTTTTCTCATTGGTAACAAACCCTTAACAAATTCAACAAAACCAGAAAAAGGTGATAAAATAAGGTCAGATGAAAGGAGAGGTCAATGAAGTTTCAATGAATAGTCAAAGAAAATGGTAAATGTTTAAATCATCCAACTTAAGATTGAATTGTAATTTTTCTTTTCTCTCGAGTACAGATTGTAATTAAATAGCTAACACAACATTTCATTATCTTCAGTTTTTCCTCAATATTCGATATAATAAATACAAGGCTATTCAGCTAGAAAGTGTAAGCATTTCATCGTGAATAAGCTAGCAGCAAATAATCACACAGAATTTTTTCTGAACACAGAATTCTGTAGCTTGGATGACACTTTTCTATTTTTCTGGAAAAACGTCAATACTATTGCATGATGAATAACCTTTGCTTTTTTGTTTGCGAAGTGAAGTCGTGAGGGAGAGTTGAAGTCATCTTGTCCAACTTTAACCTTAGCTTGATCAGACGATTGATTTGGGTCAAAATGGCTTATTCATATTGTTGATAATTGAATAGTCTTCGAGTCCCTTCTTAATTAAGTACCTCAGCAACTGATTTACAAGTAGTTATTTGATTATTGCCAAAACTATCAAGCTAACCTTTACCTTAGCGCATCTCACTAAATCCCCAGAAGAATATAAAACAACTCGAATCACCGTACTCGGTATCGGAATCAACCATGACGATGGATTTTTTGCTTTCCATGAAAAATGAACATGTAAATGAAAAATAACTCAATGACGCTTTTGCTCATTTGAGCTGATCATAAATGTTATAATGATGCACATCAAGTCAAATTGAGTTTCAATAATAATGAATGATAATGAGCAAAACCCCAATAATCAACTAACTGAGAGTTGCAACTCAAGTCTTGTATGATAATCAAATAAATGCAATAAACTAATTAGCAATCATTGGCAAATTCAATTTTCTGTCAATGTTAGTCTTACCATTTTTTGTCACAATCCAAAACCTTCACAGAGTTAGTTGTTTATTTTTAGCAAATTTTCACACAATTTGAATCACATTACGGATTATTAGAGGTTTATTACATTTTTTACTTGCCTGATCCTTCAATATGTTTTTCGGTGCTTAGATGAATATTTTGTTGGCACATTTAGGTTGGGAAAAGAGGAAGATTGTTAGTGAAGCAATAACAATACAATTTACTTTCAATGTTTCAGATTGTTATATTATTTAATTGGATGAGTAAACATTAAATCAAAGCCAAAAAGGAAACACAGAGTCAATGCAAGATAAGAAGGTTTATTTATAATAATAATACAATTATCATCTACTTATCATGATATTAAGAATATAATTCTCTATTTACCTTTTAATAATATTTTCCCATCTCATCATTATCTCTCTGTCTCAGTGAACAATATTTAGATTGATGATTGATTCAAATTTAACCATTAAGATAATCATTCAAGTTTCATGATACAATCTAATCTTGTAAGCTTCAATCGGATTGAATTTTGATGTAAACAATTTTGACCCATTTAAAAGGTGCACAAAAGATGAACCCAAAATAAAGTCCCAAATGGCCAAGAATTGAGGTTCAATGAATTACCAGAAGAAAAATAAAAACGTCAACGAAAATTGAAACATATTCATTGAATGAACAAACGATTGCAGATTAAATTCCCATATGGAATGGAGTAAAAAACAGAAGCACAATACAGATTAAAGTTAATTTTGATAAATGATCAACAATTTTTATCTCCATCTCGATTATCCTGAACAGTGAAAATTGTGAAGAGAAAAAAAATTAACCTTTTCTCATTATCACATTAATCTCACCTTTCATTTTGAAAAATTCATCAAGAAATTCATTTTCTCTGCACAATCATGGTTCGGATTCACAACATTCTGAATGATTGCTTGTATTCATTTCTCTTCATCATGTTTCTTTTCCCCTGAATGACCCTTGAATACTTGCATTATAGCCAGAGCTCATTGTCATCGAGTTGATGATTGGTTCAACTTGAACTCTCATGAGATCAATTATTCCAGAAAACAAAAGGAAATGAACTTTGATGAGTTTTACTGGCGAATTGTTGATATCAATTGTTATCAAGTGATGAAACAAATTAACGTAAAACCAACAAAAAACTTGTTCATTCATTTCGGAATCCATTATGCATATTAGATTTTTGTTTCTGGAAACAAATTGGCAAAAAGAATGTTTCATCGAAAGAATCAATTTTCAGAAACAGATAATTCTGCAATTTTTGGAATAATTCAGATGCAATGAATTTGCATGCAATTTTCAATTTTTTACAATTCAATATGGAAATAGAGTTTGGCAGAAAATTAAATGAACAATTTGTCTTTATTCAATTTACATTGTTTCCTTTAATGTAACAAAACATTTATCAAAACGTTTACTTCAAAATTACATTCAAGTTTTTGCCTCCAAATTGAACTAAATTGATCAATCGTTTATCTTCGAGTTCAAGTGAACTTGTTGAGTGAACATTTTGAATATTTAGAAATTTTCTAATTCATTTTTTATTCTGCTAATTGCTGGCAAATCAACAGCAGCATGAAATTAAATGGATAAGTAAATAACAATAGAAAAAGTAAATGTAAATCACGAAAAGTGATTTTTCATTCAAGATCAATGTTGGAGTTGAGTTTGATGTTGTATTGCGTTGATGAAACTTTGCATTTTATGAACATTTAACTGAAATATTTCTTTGCTTATCTAGACTTATGTTGCCGACATTTTTATATCGCAAAGTTGGAAGGATCATCGACTCAAGATTCCCGATGAACTGACCAACACTTCATCCAACTATCGACTGTTGCCGTTGAAATGGCTCGACTACATGTGGCGTCCAGACAGTTTCTTCAAGAATGCAAAGCAAGTTAAATTTCAAGAGATGACAATTCCAAATCATTATATCTGGCTTTATTCGGATAAACGGATTCTTTACATGGTCAAGTAAGCAAACCTTTCTAATTCAAGCTTGAGTAAAATATGATAATATTCAAAAGCTAAATCCTTTGCTAATTGATTATGTAAATCAAGGCGAATTGTGAATTTCAATTGAACTTGCAAATCCAGAGAATCAACCGATTTAAATAATTTTAATATTTTTTGTCGAACCTTTGGAATTGGCAATTGGAAATTAAGAAAAGGTTATTTTGATGAAAAGATAAAATATGCTGATTCGATTAATTTATTCATTTTTACAATTTGCAGCTACAAATAACAAGCTTAATCAGTGAATATAAATTTTGGTTCAGCAATTTATTGAACTTTTCATGGTAAAATATTGTTCATCACTTTTCATCAAACACATTTTGTTGAGAAAAAAAGTTTGATTGAATTTGTTGATCAATTTTGCGATCATCAAGCAGAATGACCATTGGATGGCCATTCAAATGTTCAGTCAATTTAACCATTATCAAGATGCAATAATGCTTGTTCATGATGATGATGTTTCATTTGGAAAACAAGTTAACGTTTTTATTCAATAGAAGAGATTGTTCATGTTGACCAAAAGGCTGAGTTTTATAACTGATAACACCAGCAAATAACATGAGATGGTAAATACTCGAGTATTTACGTTATGTTTTTGCTTAACCATTATCTTGATTGTTATCCTCTAAATATTGCCTGGTAATGATTCTGATGTTTCAATTTGCATGCCTTCAGATTGATGCTTTTACTGAGTAAAGATTAAATTTTGATCAAATTGTTACATCAACATGTATTTAGAGGCTTCTATTTTTAGCTTGTTGGAATTGTTTCACATGGATTGATGATTGGAAAATGTTGATGATATCATCATTGATGAATTATATACTCGATTATATCGAGCAAAGTCTTTGCATGTCAAAAGCGAATCCAACACTTTTAAAAATCATGTCTCATGAGATGATTAGTTGGAATGAATGTTGTCTTTCGCCCATTTGTTTTGCAGCTAATTGAGTCTGAACAACTTTTCTTCTAACAGTAATACAATAGCAAGCAAAAGGACGAAAGATCTTTTTAGTGCTAAAGAAAATAGCACAAAATTCGCAGTCAGTTGCCTTCAAAAAGTCAAACAATTATACAAGGTTTCAAGCTATCTTTGAAATGAATATGAATATTTTACGAAAATTTGTACAGATTACTTTTGAGCATGAATTAATGATATACTTGATTTGTGTTCAAAATGAGCGTCTAACAAGCTAACTTCCGAATCGCCTGTAAAGTGTAAAGTGGAAAAAGTAAAAAATTTTGAATGATTTTAAAAGAATCAATCAATTTTAGGTCCTTTCTAATTGAAATCTTCCAGACGATTTTTCTTGTTTACTTGTCTCTTGTTACTTTTTGGTCAATCGATAGTTATACAGAATGTAATTATAAAGTTATTAAGAGATAAAAAGAGATTGGATAAAAAATAATAATGAACGTTATTATTATTTCTTGTCAAAGATCGACGTAAGAAGCATGTACAAAAAGGAAGGGAAATGAGAAAATGTTATTATATATGAAAATAAATCTTGAGAATGCTAATCACATTCGAATTCAAGATATCTTTTCATCACGGAATTTCAGAGCAAAAGGTGAACAAGAAAATGGCAAAATCTCTTCTTTTTAGTTCCTCGCGTTTTAGACTCGAAATCCTGCGCAGTTCAAGTTTGCATCAGAAAATTGTTCATGAGTTTTTGTTTCCAATTTGCGATTCCTTACTGTTCATTGGTGATTAAATAAGGCATTTGAATCTGAAGTTATAGTTAATTTGAATCGTTAAACTTTTATCTGATTGAACATATTTGTCTCGTCATTGGATAACAGACTGGGAGTGAAGACTCCCAGTGAACATAATAAGGTGAGATAATAAGTTTAATAATCTTTGAGGATAATATCAAAGATAACTATTAATAAGACATGCATCATTGTAGTTCATCTTGTTCAATATCATTTGGAGTAAATGAGTTTTCATTGAGTTTCCATGAGAAGAATATTCAATATTTTGCTCAACAAAAACGGAAGTAAACAGGAATAGAAATTGATTCCTGTTTTGTCTGTCAACATGCAAATGCTGATAAACAATGAACAATCAAAGTTGATCATTTCTTAGCAAACAGTTGTGATGAATAGACTTGAAATGCTTCAATGAAGATTACCAACCAAGTCGGCAATATTGATCAAGAAAAATGTCTTCTAATGTCTAGTCACCATCTATTTAATCAAATATCAATTCTGCAATTTCCTGCCTCAAATTCAATTTCAACCCTATCATGATATCATGTTAATGAGCATTAAGATGATTCAAAGGTTGTGAAATATTTTTACTTCATGCAATTACATTTTAAAAGTAAAAATGACAGCAAAAAATGTCAAAGAGCAAAACTTGTTCATCGCCTTAAGACTTTGATCAATATCATCAATTATTGATAATTCAATGAATCGATTCAAACAGTAAAGTCGAATGCATTGGACTGTCCATTTAAAGATGGCCAGTGTATTTAGTGAATAGAGTATAAACGCTGGTGTATTACACCATATTTTTATGACTTATAAAGATGTCCTTTATTGAGAATCGATGAAAACTGTAAAACAAAAAGCAATTACGTCAACAGGAATTTAATTTGGATAAGGATCATAACCATGGATCAGAATTGATTGATGTAGTGAAAGGCATCAAAACATAATGATGATCCAGTTGCAACTGCAAGTGAATTATACAACCGAGTTTTGACAAGCTTCAGATCAAAAGCTCAAATTGATGCTGATGTAATTGCTGTAGGAATGTAACCTTTCATTAACTTTGAATTGTGAGTTTTTCACCCGGAATATGAGATCAGAAATTCTATGTCTCCTTTGACATTAAAGAGGGGTCCTGAAAACAGAGGAACAGATACAATAGACGCGAGTGATAACCCGAAAATTTTCTGTTTAATTGAGTTTATGGTTAAAGGTCAAACCCTCTAAGGTCAATTTCAAGCCTATTTATTGGTACTTTAGAGACCAAAAAAAGAGTTATTTTGAGGCCACTTTAATGGTATTATCCATCTGAGCCTCGAAATGGACTTTGTTCCGACAGGAACACTCTAGTTAAATTGAGTTTACGCTGAGTTAAGGTCAACGACATTTTATGAAAAATTAAATATATCTGTTCTCAAGCTTCAAAATTTTCTTGCACAGTGCTGTTGATTGCGGCCAAAATTGAAGAAGAGCTCCATATAAATAAAAAAATCCTTTGCGTAAAATTATATCTAAATCATAGTAAGTAATCATTAATACAAACACGGATACAAATGATGATGCTGTACATATCCTTTTGCGTAAGCCCAACTTATCGCAATCTTTTTCTCTACAATAAAAACACATAAAAAGATTTATTATGAAGACACCAGATCATATGTTGTATAACTAATGTTTTCAATGCAGTAACTCCACGTCTAATCTTTTATAGCTTCAGAATCTCTGTGGCTCAATTTTTCCAACATTTCTCCATCAGATCAAATCACGGGTCCATTCGAACCAAGAGAAATCTCCACAGCCTGGTCATTTTCCAAGCGTTTTCCTTGCGGCAAGACTTCGGTTGTCTATTAGCATCAAATTGCGATTCAAAAATGACTTCTCGTGGTCCTCTCGATCCACTATTCACGGCAAAATCATTTGGAATGTACTGTACATCATCGTCTGAATCCATTTCTTATCGAAGATACTTGAACCCGGTTCAAGAAAATCACCAAAAAAATATTATAAAATGCACGTACTTACACAAAATAATTACACAGAAGTATTCTCGGAATACTTTTTGCGACTGAAAGTCATCAGTTACTTTTTCTCCCACCTTAATCGCCATTCTTAAACCCCATTGAAAATTTGTTCAATAAATTGAAACATTGGGTCAAAAAGTTCCGACCTTCATCAGCTGATTATGTTTTTCGTGGAGTTGAAACCACCTCAAATATTTTCACTGCTAATGATTGTCAAAATTATTTCGATCCCATGATGAAATACATACCAAAATGTGTACAAGAGGAAAAGATCGAAAACTAGTTCCTCTCAATCTGAACTCTGTTTCACGCCAAGTGAATTTTTGTTTCATTCATTTTGAACTCAAAAGATTAAAGACGCTGAGGCTAATCGGTTTAGTTTCATTCAAAGTGAAAAACGTTTCACTGTTTTGAATTTGTGTTCGTCTTCAAGTGTTTTGAGTGTATTACAACGAATCAGAATTTCGATTCAAAAACAGAAAGCACAACTTGTTAACTTTTCGTATTAAAAGATAAAAGATAAACAACATTTGACTTCTATTTTTATCGGAATCTTGATTTTCGATTTATACGCACCAATATCCACGATCCATACATTGCAACTTCTGGGAAAATAAGAATTAGATCGATCGAATTAGCTCGCATGAGCTTTCAAAAAATTTGACCAAACGTTTGAACAAAATTGTTGAAAATATTACATACTTATGTCTTCACATCTCGGTGGAACCTCCATGTGAAGACATAAGTATGTCTGAGAAAAAGGAAAAAAAAGATAACCAAAAAAGGAGAAAAAGACACTTCTTAAAGATAAAGTTAAGATACTTTATTCTTGAGTACTACTTTTTACAATCTTTCACTTCATACCCAAACTTTCAACTTCAATATTCAAACTCATATTTAGATTTAAAATTTCACAACTTTTTAAACTTTTGTTCACTTAATATTTCGCTAACTATTAGACCGATTTCGGCCATACTGGTCTTAAACAGTTCCTTTTAATAAGGAGAAAACGTTTATTAATTTAAAAATTTGAATTCTAAAACTTAAAATGTTACCATAGGGTTAACATGGGCAGGTTTTGTCCAATTTCACAACTTTTGTTCACTCAATTTTTCACAAACTATTGGACCAATTTGGGCCATACTAGTATTATACAGTTCCTTTTGACAAGAAGAAAACGTCTAACACGTTAAAAATTTCAATTTCAAAATTTTCAATCAA